GGGGGGGGGATGGGGAGGATGAGCTGGGCAGGGGGGTTGACATCCCGCACGTAGCTCGGCTTCTCCATCCTGCCCCGCAGCAATTCCCGGGGGCGGGGTTGAGCTCCGGGATAATTCCCCCCGGCTGATAACGTGGTGCTGTCCCCTGAGCCTGTCCTGTGTCCTCGGGAAACTGCTGCTCTGCTGAGATAAAGCTGCCCCTAATTAGAAACAGCAGCCTAAGGCATGGGGAAGTGCTGGGGGTCCCCGCAGGCCCCCTCGGGTGTCTGCCTGGGCACTCGTGGTCATGTTTCTCCATCCTCCTGCAGTTCCTCAACCAGGAGAACTGCATGTCCCGCACGCAGCTGCAGGAGGTGGAGGCCAGGTTGAAATCCACACTGGACACTCTGCAGGAGCTCAACCAGCAGCACCAGGAGCTGATAGACTCCCACCAGCACCTGTGGTACCTGCCTTGCTCACTACCCCCCTGTCAATCCCTCTGTTTTGGGAAATGGAGCCCTTCCTGGGGGGTTGGGGACACACAGGGGGACATGGCTCCAGTCACTGCTGCCCAGCCAAGTGTGGTTGTCCAGGTGGGTGGAGGAGGCTGTGGGGAAGCCCAGCACACCCAAATCTGTGGGATCTGAAAGCCCCTAGGTCATGGTGGGAGAGAGATGTGGGAAATGTCCCCATCCCACCCTGAGGAGGGGAAACACTGATCCTACTGAGGCTGACACCATCTTGCAGGGAGGAGCAGGCTGCTCTCAGCCAGGAGCTGGAGACCACCAAGGCTGAGCTCCTCGACTTGAAACTCAAGAGGGAGAAAGTCTCTTGGTGCTCCACAGACATTGCTGAGAGCAAGATGAGGCTGCAGGAGCTTGCTGACTGCCTCAGGGCTGCTTTGCAGGAGGAGGTAGGAGCCCTGCCCTGGGGACAAGGACAAGGGGGTGGCCTGGGAGGGTTTGGACCCCTGTGGCTCTCCACGGTGTGGCTTTTGAGACCCCTGCTCAGCTCCCTGTGTCAATGCAGAGCTGTCACATGCCATCCTCCTGCACTGTACTCTCCCTCCCTTCCAAAGGATGAGGATGCTCCATCAAGAAGCAAAGCCTGGACCCCAGCTCCAAGGACACTGTGCTGGCGGACGCCGGGCTGGCAGACCCCCCGCCGGGCCTGGACCCCCGCC